CTAGGTTTTTGTGGCAAGGACCTTTACCTGTGGCTGTAACCAACAATTTAACAAAATTAAATTTGCTTTGCATGAGTACTTGAAATTTATGATACCACAAATGTGGCATTGTTGTTCAAGGTGAAAACCAAAACTACCACCATTCATTCAGCAGAGAAGTAATCAGAGGCTCTGCAGAGCTGGAGCTAATCTAAAGAATTGCCTGGAAACCTTTACACTTACTTTATAATCAACATGATTTACCACTCTACTTTTGTGAGTGTAAGTGGACTAAGGATTTTTTGGAAAGTTTATCTCTTACAGTCATACTGATGGGGTTGGATAACAGTTTGGGATTAGTGTGAGAAACTAAGATTTAAACTGTGAATCAGGTCAGCAGCAAGCTTGAAATATCTTCCTACAGAATCATACAATTTTACAGGATAGAAGGAGCCATTGAACCTATTGTGTCTGCACCGGCTCCCAAAAGAGCTGTCTAGCTAGTCCCATACTGCAGCGCTATCTCTATAGCTCTCTAAATTCATCACTTTTTGAGACCTGTTCATGTGGCATCATTTCGTTGCCTATGGGTTATAAATCTGTGAAATGTTAACCTTTTAATGAACATCATAATGTAGTTTAGGCAATAATCATTTAAAATATCTGATCAAAGCCTGGAATGCCTAAACAGATGGTGCTGCCTGGGAGTGCAGCCCATTGTAATCACATTCGACACTGTGCAGATGCCTTTCTGAGAGGGGCTGAGATTAGATGTCTGAAAGTGGTCTGTGGACTGGTGCATAGAACAACTGAAATATTGAAAAGGAGACAATATAGTTGGTAAAATATACCATAGTTATTTTTTACCAATGCAGGTAGCAAAAGGATTCCTTCTGCACTGAGTAGTGTGGTGAAACTGTGAAAGTAGAGGAAGCACGAATGAGTTGCATTAGAGATATCGCACTGAAAGAAAAAAATATCGTAATGACAAGAAGAGATTGTCAGTAATTAGAGAAATACAAAAAAATCCTTTGTGGAGAAAAGTAAACCTTCATTGTGAGCTTTCCTTGGAAAGGCAATTACTATATCCTTGTACTCATGTTTCTTCATAACAGGAGTGAAGTGTGAGGGTCATATTGCTGTGATCCTGGTAAACTTGAAATCTGTCATGCACGAAAAATTAAATAGATTTTTAAATACATACATATGTGTGTATTCATGTCTGATTTGGTAGGTGTGAATGTCATTTTATATTTGGAGATATTGCATGTCGTTTGTCCATCAGGGACAAGAATTGAAACATAAGGTTGAATATTCTTACTTTTTGGGAAGAGCTTTGTTTCAATAAGGTCTGGTGCAGCCAATCCACAGTGGCCCTTGTCAACTTTCCTCAGGTGCTGTACTGCTATTCATCTCATTAGTTATGTAACCAGCCTCTTTGGTGCCCGTGTCAAAGAATCTTGCAACAGGAGAGGCAGAAGTGCTCACTGCTACTGTAATTTTGCAATGTTTGTGCCACTAATGTGGAGGTGCCAGTATTGGAATGAGGTGGGCAAGGTCAGAAGTCACATGATACCAGGTTATAGTCAACAGGTTTATTTGAAATCACCAGCTTTTGGAGCGCTGCTCCTTCATCAGGTGAAGTAAGGTGAAGGGAAGCACACAGGCACAGAAGGTATAGGCAGAGAGATCAAAAGATAGTACAAATGGTGTGAGTGGAGTGTCGACAGATTGAACAATAAGGCACTGCAGGTGATCAAAAGTGTCAGATGGTGTGAGTAAAGTGTCAACAGCTGAATAACAAGAGAAGGGATGACCTATGATCTGATTAATTGAGGCAGAGAGATAATTACAAAAGAGTAAAAATAAAATGATACTGGAGACAAACCAAATGGAACGAATATGGGAAAATGGAACTAACTGAGTGGGCATCGTGGTCAGCATGGACTAGTCTGGGCCAAAGGGCCTGTTTCCATGCTGTAATACCCTATGACTCTATAAATGGCTGGAATAACATGCTAGATTTAAAAGTCACATATCGAGGGTCTAACCAAAGTAACAAGTAATCCAAAACAAGCCAATTATGGTAGAGTGATCATAACAAGTTATCAAGCTGATGGTGTCAAAGCAGAACAACCACGAAGATTTTACAGTTACAGAATGTGTAGGCGATAGTGAACCCAAGATCACATTGAGGGCTTCTTCACAGGTACGGAGCTTGGCTGGCAGTTTCTGCTCGGCGGTTCTATGTTGTTGTGTACCTTGAAGGCTGCCTTGGAGGACGCTTACCCAAAGATCAGAGGCTGAATGCAGTTGACTTCTGAAGTTTTCTGGTCTGTGGGTGTTGAGCTTCCATAAGAAGTCTGTAGTGTTACGACAGAAGCTGGAGATTCCTTGTACAATGTATTTCAAGATGCCCTCGACATAGCCAGGGAGGTTCTCACACAAGGGTCCCTGATACGATGCGACATCCAGGTGTGTTAGACATTGAGGACCAAAAACAGAAATTGCTGGAAAAGCTCAGCAGGTCATGCAGCATTAGTGGAGAGAAATCAGAGTTAATTGACTGTTCTGAGGAAGTGTCACTCAATCCTGAATTCTCTCTACAGATGCTGTCAAACCTGCTGAGCTTTTCCAGCAATTTCTTTTACTTTTGTTTCTGATTTACAGTATCCTCAGTTTTTTCAGTTTTTATTTAGACATTGAGGATCCTTGAACTGTGGAGTTAGTGCATTGTATTTTGCTTTTAGCCTCAGTGATGTCAAGGTTTAACATGGACGGTGGTAGGTCCTGGCCTGCAAAGATCATCCACACCACCCTGAGTTAACATGGAATTAGTTATCCCATCTCTGCAGGTAATTATTCATTCTATCTTTCATCTTACCAAGGAGCCCACTGCTATGCAAGGCTGGGGAATTCACATGTTACAATGGGAAATTCATATCTCCCTCATAGCTCAGTGATCTCCTGAGAGAAGCTGCCCACAGCATTGCCTCTCTTGGGTTAGTTGCTGTCCTACGGAATGCTCAAACATTTCAGAGCAGTTTAGCATTCTACACAAACTCCTTCAAGAACCCAATCCAATGAAACCCAACCCTAAACTTGATCTTCCCAATTTCTTCAGGACACCACAGACTACCCTTGGTAAACCACCCTACTGTTATCACCCAGCTCTCAGGACCCAACATGGCCCATTCCCCAGGCTGACTTGGCTGAAGTTTGGACTGAGAACAGCCCAGACCCCAGACAGGTACAACCACAGCACCCTGACTAAGCTGCCTGTAATTCCCATACTCTTACACTTGACCTGCAAGACTGATCATGGCATAAGCTCTCAGCTGCAAGGACACTGATGTCTGGACTCTGGTACGTAGGAACATAGGAACAGGAGTAGGCCATTCAGCTCCTCGAGCCTGTTCTGCCATTCAGTTAGATCATGGCTGTCCTGTGGCATGATTTCATATATCTGCCTTTGGCCCATATTCCTTAATATCTTTGCTTAACAAAAATTGATCTATCTAAATGTAAAATTAACAACTGACCGACCATCCGCTGCTGTTTGTGGAAGAGAGTTCCAAATATCTACCACTGTGGTAGGACCAAGTGCCTGACTGACCTTGGCCAACCCACAGGTCTTGGAATGGACCAGCTCTTTGACTGGCTAAGGTAGCACCCTCTGACTGACTGTAGTGCCTCTTCATCCTATTGAGGATTGGTGCCCTTGTAATGTGTTTGGCGTGTAAGCTGCTAGCACATGCTACAGATATGACATTGACACAGCACATACAGCAACATGATTGTTTAATTTACTTGAGCATTAAAATCTGCCTGCTTCTTTTTCCACATGAAAACGTCATGCAAGCAGTGAAGCTGGCAGCCTCTAAGTCAAAACAAAGTGAGTGAGGGCTAAGAAATTTAGCTTAGAGTCATAAGATACATCCTTTGTAGATGCATGAAATGCATATGTTTCCCAGCAATAGAATGACTTTGCAGAAGCAATTAAGTTA